TCCCCCCAGGTGCCCGGCGCCCCCGGCACCATGTTCTCGGAGGAGCGGAAGGAGGGCAGTCCCCGCTTCGGGAAACTCCACTTCCCCGTCGGCCTCTGGATCAACTCGCCCAAGAAACACTTCGTCAAGATGAGCCGCCGCTGGCCCAGTGTGGGCTCCGTCAGGTACCGGCCCCCTCCCTCCTGTCCCCTGGAAGAGCCCCTCCTGCCTCCTGGAACGGCCCCCATCCCTCCTGCCCCCCGGACCGCCCCACAGCCCTGCTACCCTGGTATCTGGCCTCCTGGATCAGCCCCACGGGCCCATCTACCCCGGTATCCAGGCCCTTCCCACCCCCTGAAGCAGCCCCACAGGCCCAACTACCCTGGTATCCTGCCCCCAGACCAGACCTATGGGCTCATCTACCCCAGTATCCCTCCCTCTCCCTGTCCCCCAATCACACCCACTGGCCCATCTATCTCAGGCCTGGTCTACACTAGGACTTTAATTCGGATTTAGCTGCCTTAATCCGAATTAACCCTTCACCCGTCCACACTACAGAGCCAGTTAATTCGAATTAAAGGGCCCTTTAAATCGATTTCTGTACTCCACCTCGACGAACGGAGTAGAGCCTAAATCGATTTTGTTAATTCGAATTAGGGTTAGTGTGGACGCACACCACCGAATTACTGTGTTTAAGTTAATGGGGTAGTGTGGCCGCACACCACCGAATTAATGTGGTTTAAAACCGAATTAAGGTGCTTAGTGTGGCCGCGCACAATCGAATTTATACAACCTGTTTCCCAAATTCGAATTATCTAAATTCGGATTAATCCTGTAGTGTAGACATACCCTCAGTATCTTGCCTCCTTCCTGTCCCCCCAGTCAATCCATGGGCCGATCTCCCCAGTATCGCCCCCTCCCTGCCCGCCTAGGCCAGCCCCACAGACCCCTCCAGCCCACACTCCCAGCCTCCCCCCTCCGCTCAGAGCAATGGGCCCATTTAACCCAGCCTCCCGCCTTCCCTCCCCAGGTCCACCTCCTCGGACACCGCCAGCCGGGGCAGCGAGACGGTGGAGCTGCGTCCCCCCGGCAAGGCGAAGGCGGGCCGCCACAAGCGCCTCTCCAACCTGTTCCACCGCAGCACCAACAGTGGGGCGGGCGTGGGGGGCGGGCGCTGGGGCAGCGAGAAGAAGCTGGCGGATCTCATCGACCCGGTGCCTGAGGACCTGGTGGAGCTGTCCAGCCAGCCCCAGCTGCCGGGCATCCTGAAGATCTTTGGGGGAGCCATCTCCCGGGGGGCCAACTACAAGAGCGTGCTGGCCACGCCACGCTCCACGGCGCGCCAGCTGGTGCGGGAGGCGCTGGAGCGCTACGGGGTGGCGCCGGAGGAGGAGGAGGGGGGCTACGTGCTGTGCGACGTGGTGGGGCGCTTCGAGGGGCCCGGCGGGGCCTGGCAGGCCGAGCACCTGCGCCCCGTGGGCGACACCGAGCGGCCCCTGGTGCTGCAGGACGTATGGAAGCCCAAGGCCGGCCTGTCGCGGCGCTTCGAGGTGCGGCGTCGGCGCGAGGTGGAGAGGGTTGGCGAGGCCGAGGATAACGAGACAGCGGGTGAGGCTGCAGTGGGGGCTGCCCCCATCCCCTGGGTTGTCCCAGGCTGGGAGCCACGGGACCCCCGGGCATGCCAGGCTGGGAGTCATGGGACCCCCGGGCATGCCAGGCTGGGAGTCATGGGACCCCTGGGTCATCCCAGGCCAGGAGCCATGGTACCCCCGGTCATCTCCCAGCCTGAAGCTACTGGGTCCCCCAGTCATCTTCCGTCTCAGAGACATGCCCCCCCATCTTCCCGCAGCCAGGAGCCACGGGACCCTCCGTCGTCCCCAAGTTCGGAGCCATGGGGCCCCCCAGTTATGTCCTGCCTCGGAGCTACAGGCACCAGGTTGTCCCCCGGGGCGGGGAGCCGGGCTGGGGATCCCTGAAAGCCCCGGAATGGGGAGCCAGTCAGCCCCCTCTGAGGCTCCCCCTTCTCGCCCCCCAGGCATCAACGCCCAGGCGCGGCGGCTGCAGAAGAGCCGCTCACGGGCGGCCTCGGGGGGGCCGGCCCCCAAGGAGCGGGCCGACAACCTGTCCCTGCGCCGCAGCATAAGCGACATGAACCTGAGCGCCCGCAAACGGCGAGAGCGCAAGGCCGTGCTGAGCGTGGCGGGCGCCGAGGTGGGGCCGGCCGGCGAGGAGCAGGAGGGGGAGGTGGCCCCGGCCCAGGAGGCAGAGCCGGCGGACGGGGGCACCAAGTCCGGGGAGGCCGAGGACTCGGCGGACGGGGCCAACCTGGAGCAGCTGTCCCAGTGCCTGATCCAGCCCCCCACCCAGCACCCCTATTTCCTGCTGCTGCTCGGCTGCGACAAGCAGGTAGGGCAGGGGGCTCTGTGGGGCGCTGGGCTGCAGGGAGCAGGGCGGGGGGCTCAGCAGGGGGTGCTGGGCTGCGGTGCGAGGTCAGTAGGGGGTGCTGACTCCAGCCCCCAGAACCATTTGCTCCCCACTATGGTCCAGCAGAGAGCATGCTGGGAGCACAGCTTTCCCATAATGCTTTGCACCCTCTGGGTCGTCCTTGGGGGAGGGAAGGGTTGGTGGGAGCGCTCCAGGATATGCGGGAGGGTGCAGTAATGGAAGAGCCCATTTTAACATAGAAAATAGGGGGCTTCCCAGAAGAGACAAGTTTAGCCAACAAAAATGGGGGTGCAATAGCCGGATGGCCCATTTTCTCACAGAAACTGGGGGTGGGGCAAAAAGGGTAGAACCCATTTTACCATAGAGGGGATTCCTGGGAGAGCTCCCCCCTCCAAGAGTGGTGGGGTGCCACAGTGGGAGAGAGCCCATTCCCCTCCCCCCCAGAGGGCAGGGGTGGCATGGCGGAAGAGCCCATTCCCCCCAGAGGGCAGGGGTGGCATGGCGGGAGAGTCCTTTCCCCCCCAGAGGGCAGGGGTGGCATGGCGGGAGAGCCCATTCCCTCCCAGAGGGCGGGGCAGGCCCGCTTTCGATGGCACTCCCATGTTTTGACGCCATTTTCCCCCCGTCACCCCCCAGGATTTTGTGATCTACGTGATGACCCGGCGCCGGCACGTCTTCGGGCGCCGCCCCCAGCCCGACAAAGGGGGCTACGTGGACACCTTCCTCTGTGCCCCGGACATCCTGCCCCGCCACTGCTGCGTGCGGGAGGCTGAGCCGGCCCTGGGGCCGGCCCTGGTGCGGCCCTTCCGGGGGGCGGCCGTCACCCTCAACGGGGGGGCCCTGGTGCGCGAGGCCGAGCTGCACCCCGGGGACCTGCTGGGGCTGGGCCAGCACTTTCTCTTCATGTACAAAGACCCCCGGACCCCCCAGCCCCGGCCGGCCTGGCTGCCCCGGCCCTGGGTCTCGCCCGGGCTGGCGGGCGCCTTCTCGTGCCAGGCCTGCGGGCGCTCCCTCCAGGAGAGGCAGGACGCCTTCCAGGCCTACGTGGAGAGCCGGGAGCCCGAGCTGCGCTACCGGCCCCAGGAGGAGGAGGCGCTGCTGAGGGAGATCGTCCGGCTCCAGGGGGCCACCGCCTTCAACCTGGCCCCGGCCTTCCTCCTGGGCCTGTGCCTGGAGCACTCCACCCGCGTGCTGGAGCCCAGCCACTTCCCCCGCCTGGTGGCCAGGATGGCCCAGCTGGTCAAGGAGGCCGTCTGGGTAACGAGAGGGGTGTGGGACGGGGGATCGGGGCTGGGGATCAGCAGGGGTGGACTAGCCACTGGGCCAATTGGGGGGCCCCGGAAAAATGGGTGCCCCGACCCGCTCTGCCCACCCACCCAGCGCTCCTACTAGGGGCGTGGGGGCTTGGAGTGCCGGGTGGGGGACCCCATGTCTCCAGCAGCAGCACACGGGGGTGGGGACGGACGGCAGGTAGAAGGGGTGGGGGAGGGGCCCCACTTGGTCTGGCCCAGGGCCCCACAAAACCCCAATCCGCCCCTGGGGGTCAGGGACCCCTCCCAGAGTGGGGGAAAGGCTGAGGGAAGAATGGCTGAGGGCAGGGTCCCCTGTGTATCCCAGGGTGGGGGCAGAGCTGGGGGTGGGGGCCCCATGTGTATCGGGGGGCAGGGATGGGGGAATGTGACAGCAGCCCCAAGGCCCGTTCCGGATCAGCTCTTTCTTCCCTGCCAGGAGAAGATCAAGGAAGTCGGGGACCGGCAGCCGGAGAAGTGAGTGAGACCCCTGGACCCCGGCCACACCCCACCCTGGGCGTGGGGGCTCCCTGTCTCGTCCCCCTCTGCGGCAGCGGGCAGGGTAGGGGGTGCTCTGTCCTCAGACTCCAGCCCCACGCCAGAGGGGTTCTATCTTAGTGCCGGGCAAGGGGACCCCAGTTACGCAGCCCCCACACCCACCCAAGAGGGGCCATGTCCCAACGCCAGGTGAGGGATCCCCGTATACCCAGCCCCCGCCCCACCCGAGGGGCCACATCCCAGCATTGAGCAAGGGGTCCCCATATACCCAGCCCCCGCACCCCACCCCAGAGGGGCCAGGTCCCAGCACCAGGCGAGGGGTCCCCATATACCCAGCCCCTGTGCCCCACCCCAGAGGGGCAGTTAACCCCTTCACAGCTGAGTATGTCTCAGTGGAAGCTGCTAAGAACTGGCCGGGGTCCCAAAGGGCCTGGGGAGGGGGCAAGGTGTCCCAGCAGCTCCGATGATCCCCCAGTCGCTCCTCCCACCCCTCTCTCCCTTCCAGCCAGCAGGACAAGGGCCAGGTGAGGGCGCTCAGCATCGAAGAGGTGGCGGCCGACTTGCGCCCCCTGATGCTCTGGATGGCCAACGCCATGGAGCTGCTCAACCTGGTCCAGAAGAAAGTGCTGGACATGGAGAAAGAACTCGACCTGGAGGGTGAGCAGGACGCCTGGGTTCTCTCCCCAGCTCTGGGAGGGGAGTGGGGGCTAGTAGTTAAAGCGGGGGGTCTGGGAGCCAGGACGCCTGGGTTCTCTCCCTGGCTCTGGAAGAGGAGTGGGGGCTAGTGGTTAGAGCAGGGGGGGCTGGGAGCCAGGACGCCTGGGTTCTCTCCCCCGTAGTGGATGGTGGGGTGAATCCCACAGGGATGGGATGAGCTCGGCAGCGAGCGCAGCTCACAGAGCCCCACAGTCGGCCCCCTTTCTCCTCTCCAGGAAGTTCCCATGATGCTTTGCTGTCCAGCGACCTGGAGACCTGCGACGAGGCCATGGCGGTGCTGGACGAGGTCATCATGTCCACGTTCCAGCAGTCGGTGTATTACTTGACCAAGGTGAGTTCAGCCCCCCTGCAGCCCAGCGCCTCCTAGTGCTGCCCTAGGGCATCGGGGCCTATCCTGCCTGCCCAGAGAGAGCGCCCCCTGGTGAGTCCACCGCTCCCTGCAGCCCAGCGCCCCCTAGTGCTGCCCTAGGGCATCGGGGCCTGTCCTGCCTGCCCGGGGAGAGCACCCCCTGGTGAGTCCACCGCTCCCTGCAGCCCAGCTCCCCCTAGTGCTGCCCTAGGGCATCGGGGCCCGTCCTGCCTGCCCGGGG